CTCTCACCTCACACATTACTCCCTGGTGCGTCCTCTCCTTCTTTCTCATTGAGCCCCTTGTAAGCCTCTCTTTCTCACTTTAATGCTTCTTGCACTCTGTTCAAGCTCTTGCTCCCTGTCTTTACTCTCCCTCCCCTTCTTTCTGTTTCTCTCTTCTCTCCTTCCTCCTCCTCCCCCCCGTTTCACTGGTGTGAGCCTCTCTTTCCCAGGGTTCCCCACCAACCCCACTTTGCCCTCATGACATAAACAAGGCAGTGGTTTTTAAGGACTTTGTGTCCATCTCTGTTTCCTCATCTACTTATTTCTCTTGGGTGGAGTCCTGCAAGTTGGAGTTGCTGAGTCAAAGGCCGCAGATGCTTCAAGTACAGATACATGTTGCTAAACTGTGCTGTAGAAAACCCGGACCTATCAACTTACCGCACACTAACACTGGCTGACAGTGTTTCCTCGCACCCTTGCCAACACTGGTTAATATTAATCTTTTTAATTATTATCACTCTGATAAGGCAAACATTTTCATTTCTTTTATTCCTAGTGAGCCTGAACATCTTTTCATATCATTATTGGCCATTAATATTCTTTTTGTGAATTGCCTGCTCAGAAGACTCGCTCATTTTCTGGCGCTACATCTTTTTGCCTAACCGCAGGGGCCACTTGTCTCCTCTTTACTTTTCCAATGAGGTTCTGGACCAGCCTTCTCTGAAGCACTTGAGAATGTGAGGGCGGCCATGGGGAAGCTAACCGAACCCGCTACTTCACTGGGTCTGTGTCCTTCCAGCCCACAGCATGCCATCTTTCTGCCAACTTTATCACTGTAGACAACCTCTACTTGGGCAACTGTGTTCATAACCATAGAAGAGTAAGGCAAGGTAAAGAAAAGACGGGTAGAGAATGTACAGTGAAACAAGATGTGGACCTGAGTTGAAAGGGAAAGATAAAATGAAGCTAATGTTTTAATGAGAATCGCAAGATTTTGATAAAGTGAATGAAGCTAAGTTGATGAGCCAGAGTGGCCTAAAGTGCAGTTACAGTGTGGAGAAGAAACAGGATGGAAAGAAGATGCAAAGAAGCAAGAATGAAAGAGGGAAGTGAAGGAAAAGATGACATGGTTGTTATAGAAATGGCGGTGTTTATACAGAAGGAGAAGCAAATAGGATAAGACATCATAGAGACCAAGGGAGGCAAGCCCACAGACTCGGTTCAGGACTTGGATAGGATTTAAGGGAATAGCTTAGAAGTGGGTGCCGCTAATGCCTTCAAATTTATGAAGATAGGTAACATGCTATGGACAGGAATAACAAAGGGCTAGTTTAGAGTGTAAATCTATAAAAATGAACAGGGTCCACTTTGGCAGTGTTGTGTAATTGGCTTTAACTTTGGTATCTGTAAAGAGAGCGTGAACATATATGATTTACAGGAGTCTAGTCTATATAGATAGGTACTGGCATTTTACCTAAAGTATGTGTTTTCCTAAGGAGAAGTTGGTATGATATGATCACAGCATGTAAAAGGGAGATCACCTTTGTAATAGTGGGTCCAGGTCATGGAGCCATCCTTTCTCTGTCCCACATAGCTGCTATGTTTCAGAGAAAACAAAAATGTGCAAAATAGTCTGTCAGTAATGATGTAAGCACACAAAATCTAGAGACGGGCAAACCAGGGAGTTGATATTTAGATTAAATAGCTCTGTAATTATAGCCACGAAACATACTTTATTACTGAAATTTCTGTAAGAAAAATTCCCCTGGGACAGCAATACTTTTTTTCCACATTTTTTAAAATTAAGACTTTAATTTTTAGAGGATTTTTAGGTTCATAGTAAAATTTAGGGGAAGGTACAGAGTTTCCATGTACTCGTGGCCCCCACACCTGCACAGCCTCCCCCCATGATCAACATCCCCCACTACAGTAGCACAGTTGTTAACACTGATGAACCTGCATTGACGCAATCACTCAAGGTCCATAGTTTACATTAGGGTTCAGTCTTGGTGTTAAATATTCTGTGGGTCTGGGCAAATGTATAATGATGTCTATCCATCATTATGATATCATACAGAGTATTTTCACTGCCCTAGAAATCCTCTGTGCTCCACTTCTGTGTTTCATCCCTCCTCTTACGCCCAGGTAACCAGTGATCTTTTTATTGTTTCCATAGTTTTGCCTTTTCCAGAATGTCACATAGTAGTTGGAATCCTACAGTAGGTAGCCTTTTCAGATTGGCTTCTTTCATTTAGTCATATGCATTTAAGTTTCCTCCATGTCTTTTCATGGCTTGATAACTCATTTCTTTTCAGTACTGAATAATATTCTACTGTCTAGATGTACTACAGTTTATTCACCTGCTGACGGATATCTTGGTTGCTTCCAAGTTTTGGCAAGGATGTGGAGCAACATAACTCTCATCTATTGCTGGTTGAAATACAAAATGGTACGGCCGCTTTGAAAAACGATTTCTTACAAAAGTGAACATACTCTTACCATGTGATAGAAAACCTTTGCTCCTTTGTATTTACCCAATGAAGTTGAAAACATGTCCACACAAAAAGCATACACATGGATATTTATAGCAGTTTTATTCAT